TATGTCAAAGTTGTTAAAACAATACTCCTTCTATGTCTGACTTCAAACGGCTTTACGGTTTCAACCTGTCAAGAGTTTGGTTTGATCGAAAGTCTTATTGCAAAGTATTAAGAAGCAGTTTGCAGGCAAGATAAGGTAAAGAAATTTTTACACTCAGAAAGTAATATGGATTATTTAAGATAGGATAGCTAGTTGTCCATTTTTTCTATGAACATGAACTGAAATCCAAAATAAGATCTCGTTAAAAACTCACAATTATTCAATAAATTGTTTAATTTGGTATTCAATGGTCCACATAGAATGCATGGTTTTCTATAGAGAATGGAAAAAGCCATCCACTAAAAAGTAATAATATTCAATGTTTAATCGGTAGGATTGGGTGTAATATCCTTGATTGTACATTTTCTTTGAAGATTTTTGTTTTCTTGAATGATAATTATTTACCAATCCAAATTGTTTGATATTTAAAATATAGAATTCAATTTAGTAGGTTTGAGAAAAAAAATTCAAAATCATTAGGTTCTGAGGTGCGACATTAAACCTTGCAAGTCCTACTGACTGTATAATTACTATGTAAATGCCTTAAAAGATTTGATTTTATTTCTTATTTCACATTTAAATGCAAAATCATAGCTTTAATAGCATGATTAATACATCAGAAAGTTAAATCTTTCATTCCTTTGAAATATGATAGCTTTTCCTGTCAATTTAAAATATAATTAACAGGACAAGATATTCATAAAGATGAAAAATAAGCTGTCACTTTCTATTGAATGAAAGTCCTTGGCAAATGTACATATTCTTCAAAATTCTTTCTTTTTCGTTGATAAAAGAAAATGAAATTTCGAATAAATTGTACGAAATATTAAAATAAAATTTGGACCATAGATAAACATCCTTATCATTTGATAAATTGATTAATTTTATTTGTTTAGATTGAAATGATAAAATTGATTATGATTTTCCGCTCATTTTTGTGTATGAAAAGCTAAAAACGATGGATGAAGGAGATTGGAAAGTTTGAATGGTAATAAATGAGCAATAATTCATAATAACACAAGTTTTAATAAAGAAGGATTAAAAGTTAGAGATAAATTTTCTTGGTTAACCATATTTTACTTTAGTATTGAGGATGCTATTACAAATTTTGTATCATGTAAACCAGTGTCAGAACTTAAGAAGAAAAATGTCGAAAAGCATCAACAAGTGTTTACTTTGGCATTGTTAAGGGGAGACAACTCGTTAGATAAATACACAAGGGGAGATTACTCACATAAATTTTTTTTTTTTTTATTTCCACAATGAGCACTGTATAAAATAACATTAAATAACAAATAATAATCATTTTTGATATCGTAGAAAATTGATTAAGGATATCAGCCAAACCAAAATCTCAAGCATGATGAACAATAAAATCTGAGAGAGACATTATACATAAATATGATAATGGGAATCACCAAATAAAGAACCCATATAGCATTGCAAAAACCACCAACTCTTAAATAACAGACATACAACCAACAACTACACAGATAGCCTGACTTGGTTGTTGATGCATATATTATATTTATATTCTAATTTGACTTATGCTGAAACTTTAATACATGTATAAGGAAACTTTATACCTTTTTCTGTCTTATCATTGTAATTGTTATATTGGTATAGGTTTTTTAGATATCAGATTTTACTTTTTTCTTATGATCATACCTGTGTGTACATTTTAAATACTATAAATTCAGAAGTTATTGCATGTATTTATTATTGCAATTTATAAAGAATGGACAACGATGCGAGATTTATTATTGCGATTTCAGGAAATTCTGCATACAGAGCATATATCAGATATCAGAATGCAAGTTTTAATTATTGCGATTGTAACCCAGTTGATTTTTTCACATTAATAAAAACCTCGCAATAATTTCTAAATTAACAGTTATAATATATTATGATAATTTTTGTTAATATGTTGTCTGCAATGACTTTTCCCCTACATTTTCTTCTATAGAACAAAACGTTAAGGCTACTTTTGGTTGGTTTTATTCTGGTATTTTTACTGGCATACATTTCAGGAATGAACTTATACAAGATATGATATGCTTAACAAGTCATTGCCTCTGACCATGGGTCAATGTTTTTCCTTCATTCTACTTTTTGGCAAAGACACTTTACTATTAGACTTTAATCATTCCAATCATTGACTGATAAATAAAGAAAAACACATTTTCCTGTCTTGCCTATTATGATTTCACTTTCTCTTCATTGTCCTGTTTTCCTTCAAAATTCATGAAGATACATGTGGTTGTCTGTTTTGTTGCGATTGTAGTCTTATGCCTGACAATCAATGATAGTATTTTTAAGAATGCTTTTAAAGTTTTATTTTTTTTTTATTTATGCTCCTTCATGAATATTTTCCTTCAATGGTATATGAAGTTGTTTTTGTTGTTGTTGTTGTTTTTTTCAAGATTTTACTAGATATATGCCATTAAAAAACAATCTAAGATATTATTAGATCTTTAGTCAGCAGTAATGCTTTATGGGGATTTTAAGGACACTGAGATTTGCCGTCTTTTGTCCTGGTGGTGTTACAAGATTTGCCGTCTTTTGACCTTGTGGTGTTGTCTACCTTTATCTCATTATTGATTCAGTATATCTATTCTTTATAAGTTAATATTATCTATATTATATTGATGAAATTAAAATTTTTCATCTTTGAGTCACATAAATATATTGATCAGTTGGAAATAGATTTGATTGGAGAGTTTAAATATTTGTGAATGATCTTGAGAGACATCTACATACTTTCTGACAACTCAATAAGATTGGTTAAACGATAGTGCTCAATTTCCTGTTAATTATACACCTCAAGCGTGGAGAAAAAATATTACGAGGTGGAAAATTATTGATAAGTATTTTCTAATCATTTGATTTAAGTGAGCGATAGATTGCAAGTGACCTTCATCTAGTTAATTTCTTTCTCAAACTTTCACCTCAAGATTTCGTCACTTTTTATTCTGGTTTCAAAAAATTGGTAGATTAATTTACATTTAACCAATACAGCTATTGTTGGGTTAAAAGCAAATAGATCAAACCCGATCGTTACTGTCTTCAGAGGTCATTATAAGATACATACAAATTACAGAAATTAAGTCCGCTATGATATTTGTCATAAAGTTATTGATACCATCATAATAGTATTAAAGTTAATTTGTGGACAATCAGTTTTGTCCAAAAGTGAAAGGATCGACCAATTTTACCAGCTTTATAAGGCGCCCGATAATTGTAGTGATGATTATCCACAACTTAGGGTCAAGTTTACGTGGAAAAATGATTATTTAGTACGAGAAATTATTTGAATTAGATGTAATTTAAACTGGTGAAAATCAGTGTAGTTGTTATCTGTTTTATGAAAAAGATTTCTGGATTTTTTCAATTTCTGAGCTTTGAACGTAGCTGTTGACTAACAATATCCAGTTTGAGATGGTAAATCTCTGATTTAATCGTTTGGAATATTTTTCGTTCATTATTCTGTAACAGGTCAGTAACCGTTAAAAAAAAATTTTGGAGATATTCTTCAATTTTAGGCTTTTACATTTGAAGTGCACTTTTCTCTAGATTTTCGGATTTATTTTATTTGTACGAGATTTTTAAAACTGACTTTGGTCCATCCAAAAGTACTGTTCTAGTTTTACTTGATAGGAAATGCTAAAAACCCAAAAATTTTATTCCAAGGATGTATAATAATATATCATTTTGTGAGGAATTACATGACCAAATAAGGGACCAAAAGCACCCCTGAAAGCTTGTAAGAAGTTCTTAAAATAGTTTGATGGTCTGTTATTTATAAAATTTGTCTTTTAGCAGATTTTAGAACAAGATGTCATAATAGTCATTGTATAATAAGATAGCTACAAACATCATAAATTAATCAATCATTAAGAATAAAAGAGTTGTGGGATAAATGTCAATGAGACAGCAACCAAACAGGCTAGAAACCAACGACCACAATTTGGAGTCACAACATAAGTATTCATACTATATGATAAGCTATTGCAAGAGTGTAGACAGGATTAAGATTAAAGCCATAAAAAAAAAATCTAAAATATTAAAAGAACAAAACTGAAGTTTTCTGCAGAAAAACGATTTTCCTGTCAAAAAAATTATTATTTATGTATATCATCTTTCACATTTTTATTGTTATTTAAAAGGTCTTTTCAAATGTCAGTTACATAAAAAAACAACAGTGAAATAAACATCAAAATATGAAGAAAAAAATTTATGATATGAAGTAAATGATTTGTGTCAATTCTAAATCACCTGGCTTAAATAGATAGTTCAACGATTTGATACTAGAATTCTGTTTCATTCAAAATAAATAGCTCCCCATGAAGCAAAGTAAACAAATACCTAATTTCCACTCCTTGACACAGCTGAATATACCTAGAAAAATGTATGGTTTATATAGGGTTTTTGTTTTTGCTTAGCTCCAACTGGGCTTATCTTCAAAACAGCTCCAGGGTTGACCCGATGCCATCAAAGTTAGAGATGTAATTTACTGACTTTTAATCAGTTCATCATAAAAAATCATCTCTTATTTTATCAGTACTTATAAGTGTGGGGGGTGATAGATTAATATTCATATCTATAGTAAATATATACTGGAACACTTGTCAGAATTTCTCTGTTTCTTTACAAGCTTTGAGGTAGGAACTTAAAAAAAAAATTATTTCATTTTTGTTTATGCTTGTACTGTTTAAAAAATGAATTTTAAAATATGGTAAATTAATTATCTTTTCATGTTCCAAGGGTGTGAGATGCATAATGTTTAAAATGTATTGTTGTTGGTTTTTCATGCAGTTAAATACATCTAGAATAGAAAGATGAAAAGATTTTACTCTTTTCATTCTTAAGTTACAAGTAGGTGAAGTAACTTCTTCCCTATGGGTTTTATCGCCAACTGCAATTTTTAAAATATTTTGATTATTGATGTTTTTTTTCTTCAGAGTTTAGGAGTCTGGAGTTTAGATTATATTCCAAGAGGAACAAGATTTGGACCTCTAGTCGGAGAAGTGTATACCAAAGAACCTTACGTGAATACAGAACCTGAACGCATTTCAATTTGGAAGGTAAAAATATTTCTCTTCTTAATTTTCCTATAGAAAGTGAATTGCAAAATTGAATAATTTCAAAGTGAATTACATAGTTTTAATTTTATTATCATAATTTGTCTCATAAATATTTTTTTTGATAAAATAAGTGTGCTAATTTATTAATTCACTTTTATTCCCATTTAACTTTTTAAATGCACAATTTTTTTTTTCAAAACATGTTATTATAATAGAAAAATAATAAATTTTCTGTAGTCCATTAAGTATGTGTTAAACATCCCTTTCACTGTATAAATTGAAATGCAAAAGCACAAGACACTCAAAAATCATTCATCTTGTTTTAATGGTAGTCTGTTATCATATAGCCTTGATATTGAATTCATGATAATTATATTTCTATCATAATTTTAAAATATGGATAAGAATAGAAAATATTACTCATATTTAAATTTCCGTTTGATTAATGTGTTTCGGCTGATGTTCACTTTCACTGATACATATCTTATTCATGAACATCGTAATAATTACTGTATTGTTAGGACAATACGATGACATTTGCTTTTGAAAATTATATAATGAAATTTTAATGAAGGTTGGGAGTCTAATCAAACTTAAAAGAACTTTATTATGTTAATTAAGTTGCATCACAATCCAGCAGTTCAAAATTATAATATCCACTCTAAATATTTCAAATAATTTCGATTAAATCTGAATTTTTAAAATGTGAAACTTCTATTGAAAGTTTCTGTAAATGATTGCACGTCAATTATTGAGTTTGCTGTAGGTACTATTTGTAACACCTAATTTGATTGGCTACGATCACAAATCATCGAAGCTTCACCTGCGGGACTAATAGCGTGTTAAATCTCTTAACTGATAGAAACATTTTTTTGTTGCATTTAATTTTTGTGTTTAAGTGAAAAGATGTTTAAATGTTAGATGAATATGGAGGAGTGAAGTCTTCAATCACAGGTGCTTGTTTTACTTCTTATCGGACACCTGTTAATTTGGGTAAAAAATAATGTTTCATCACAAAATTTGTGAAATATGAGAAATGTTTATGATTAAAATAATCTCATATGTAAAAGTTACTTTCTAATATCAGATTTTTTGATAGATTTTGCCATGTGTTTGAACTAATTTTTGACTTATTTCATAGGTTTTTAAAAATTTAATTTTTTATTAATATTTCAGCTGCATGTTGATAAAAAATTTATAATTATATTTCTCACTTCAAATTTAATCAAATATTTGATTAAAATTATGAATATTTTTTTTTTTTTTTATTGCTATACTGGTATATATATTTTTTAATTTATTTTTTTTGCAGGTTTTCAAAAACAATACTGTCTACCAGTTTATTGATAATTGCGATACGACCAAATCCAGTTGGATGCACTATGTTAATTTCTCTTACAACTCAGCAGCGCAGCAGAATCTAATCGCCTGTCAGATTGACTTTAATATTTATTTCTACACAACAAAACCTATTCCTCCAAACACAGAACTAATGGTCTGGTACTGCAGAGAATATGCTGACCGCCTCAACTACCCCCTCACGGGCGAAGAGATGCTACAAACATGGCGTAAGTTTCACTTATTAATTAATTTTTACCGGTTATAACCTTATTTTTGTAACTTCGAGAAGTGAAAGTTATCATTCAAATTTTAGAGTTGAATATTTTGTTACATATTTGAAATATAAACAGTCACCTTGTGTTGTAAGATAAGAAATTATATTATTCCAAAAGTAATTCAGAAAAAATTGGTCAAATTTCTGTGGATTTGAATAATAATGTAAATGGCAAATTTTTAGGAATCCAGTCTGTTTATATCAGGTTTCCTTTGATTTGAAAAACTGAATCGTGATGAAAGGAGGACTATATATTGTGGATTCATTTATTGTCGTGGATACCAATTTTTGTGGATTGAGGGATAATTGTATTATCGTGTATATTTGATTTGGTGATTATTACAAAAGTCTGCATACAAGCCTATAGAAAAATTTGTACTTTGTTGAATATTTAAATTCGTAGTTAACCTTTATCAACCAAATCCACGAAAATTGGTATCCCACGAATAGAAACGAATCCACATAGTATTCCATTTTGTGTAGTATCTACATTTGCATTTGAAATTGGTTTTTGTTTTTGAAAAAAGAGTTTGCGGAGGAGGTGCTAATGTCAATTGTCACACTTTCTTACAATGCCATGTCCAGTAGGTTTATTGTTGGAACAAATCTGAGAACCAGTACCCCTCTTTAAACTTTGACCTTATAGGCAGTTACTGACTGAACCCTGTACCATGTCCTGACTTGAGTTTCATTGTTGGAACAAATTTGAGTACCTGTACCCCTTTTTAAACTTTGACCTTATGACCAGTAACTGACTGAACCCTGTAACTTATAAATAAAAGAGGTACTCAGTAAAATAATTAGATGTAGTTGTTTTGACAGAGTACTTAACCACTTCATAAAGTTGACAATCTTTGAGACAGCATCTGTTTCTCTGTACATGTAAAATGATACCAGGATATTTTTTATAATATCAGTAGCAACTATCATTTATCTTTATCTACGAGTATGAGAAACAAATACATCATTTAATAACTGTAAATAAGTTTTATTTTCTGCATTATTTTTGAAAGTGTTTGAATTAGTTTTTAGGAACATATATGTTTGTGTCAGGTTTAATTTTCTCATTTTTCCTGATACTTTAATAAATTTATATGTAATATCAATAAATTTTAATGCCAGTTGGAATATATGATAATTATAAAATCAATTATGGGTATCATACATTCTTGACTATTTTCTTGCTTTGCCAATCCAAAGTTCAAGATGGCTACCATATCAGATTATGATTTTCATCTCGGATTTCTTGTATCTATATGGGGTATGATTGCAAATGATACAATTATTCACAAGACTGTAAATCTAGACAGCTCTCTCATGAGCGAAAAAAAAAAGAAAAGATAACTGAAAAATCTAGCCTGCATATGCAACATAAACAGTGAAAAATCAACTTTCATTTTAAGGGTAAACCCCAAATTGGTGTAATTGACTGAGATAGTCACTTTTGCCTGTTTTATGAGAATTTTAACTATGGTTCATAGTATTCCTTATTGTTTGTGGAAAGTACAGATATTTTTAACTCTTTATTAAAAATTTCAACAGGGTCTATTAAAAAAAAATGAATGAGAGTCGGTATGATGAATTTGTTTAATATTGTCATCTTTTCAATTAGGTCCTTTGGAAATTTTTAATTAATACAATAGAATTTCTTCCTGTTTACAACGTGTGTATTCTAGTAGTTTTTTTTTTTTTTACGTCATACTTAAGGTTTTCCTGTGACCATAACCTTCGAAGATCCTTAAAACAAACTTTTTATCTCTTTTCACCTATTTTTTATTGCAAGATTGTACGTATAATACTCAAGTGGATTGCCATTGTAGTAAATGTTTTTTTTATCAATGAGGGTTTCTTCTTGGAAGAATGTTAGCTACTAAACTAATTTTGTTCCTTGTAATTGGGAAAGTTTGTTAGCATTGAGAAATAATTGAATAGGAGGGTAGCTGATTAATACATGTAAAAACCCACATTGGTCTTGATTAAACATATGCTTGTTTTAGACTTCGACTAATTCCTTAATTGGAGATTTTAAAATTTTTAGTTGTAGTTTTTTTTTTTTAAATTTCATACCTTTTATGAAACAATACTAAATTTATCCCAAAATCTGAATTATAGATTTACATTTTCCATCTGACAGACCCAATAAAATTCTGGGGCTTGATATCTCTAGACTGTATATTCTAGTTCATATGTGTTAAAACATCTTCATATTCAATTCTAATGTAGTGTTATTTTCATTGGTTACACCTGTAATTGAGAAGCCCTTTATAAACCATAAAAATGTTTGCCATAGGATATTTTCAGCAATCAATCAATCAATCAATCAATCAATCAATCAAATAATGTAAGGTGGGAAATTTTTGCATCTGTTAAGTTATGCTTATTTATCCCGTATGTAAATATTCCCTTAAATATGAGCTAATTATCTCCCTTTTCAATGAATTATGGTGGGGATAATATAAGTTTTGGAAACACAATGCATTCCCTGTAAACGGGGAAGAAAAAACATTAAGGTAGCCCCCCCCCCCCTAATCACCTTAATCACCTTAATCCAAAAGTAGCAACCCCTAAGTACCATGAACATTCGTTACTTTTTCTGTGTGATAGATATTAGAAGAGTTTACTGTAATGTCTTGAAGAAAAAAATGAAAGGTGAAGAGAAGCCAAAGGCCAAATTATATTGTTTCATAAGATATTATTAGGTATTTTACTGCTAGATTAATATTAGAATTTTTGTCTGACGATTCTGTGAAACATGATGAAAATTACCGTCATTTCTAAATCCATAAAACTTCTAGAAATTAATACTGTTGAAAAACAAGTAATTAATAAGAAAAGGCTACAAAGAGCACAGAATTTTTTATGACTTTTGCCTTGTGTGGTGAAAGGTACAAGAGAACTCTATTATCATTTTTTGTATGATTAATTTTACTGATGCTAGCTTAGGGTGTGTTTGATATTATTTGGCTTTTTCCATGCCTTGGAATTTCAAAGGAACTAAAAACGATGAAACAAGTTAATGAAAATGGTTTATTGTGTCTCATGTTTTTGTAATTGATTTTTATTTGTGCTTCAAGCTAAGACGTTTCATTTTAGAATTTATGAAACTATTTCCTAATATAAATAGAATTATAGCCATTGATATTTAATACAGATAAAAGGATATGTGGGATTATGTTAATGAGACAGCAATCACATAACAAAAACAAAAAAACAAAAATCTTGTCAGGAAAATGTTAGGTGAATTATAAAAATTGAATTTGTTTAACAAAATTAATAATATTGAAAATTAAAAATGTATGAAAAATTTCATAGGAAAATTAGGTACACGTGTCAGCAAAGATTAAAATGTTAATCAACAAAATTACAAGCCTAATATTAACTTATTACAATTAAGAAGTTAATTTATTTCTTTTTAAAAGCACCAAAATCATCCATCGTCCATTAAATACCCGACTTTGATTATATTTTTGTACTAAACTTGCAGTTTTAATATCAATCAATGAAAAAATAAAGACCAAGCATGACGTGTTCTGCATGCTTAAACCTAATAATAATTTCTGACAAGAAACTTGATACTTGCCCCTAATTATGGGGTTTGACAACTTTCTCTTCAAAACCATTCTCCGATATTTACCCTGTAAGAATTTATATCAAATCCACACAACACAAGCTTTTATTCAAAATCATTAAAACTGGTGAAGCGAAAATAATTTGAAATATCATCATTAAAAAGTAAAAATCACAGATGTTTGTGAAAAATAATTCAAGTACATTTGCTCGATTGACTTCTTTGGTCCAAGTGAGGTCATGAAATTGTGTCCACAGAAAGGTTTCTATGTTTGCTAAGGTAAAGAACAAAGATATAATTACATAATTAAAATTAGATGATTATAACAAAGCATAAAATTGTCATCTAAAAGATTTTATCTGTACCCAAAAAAAAATAAAAGATTATTAATAATTATCTGCATGGACCAATCAGCTAGCATTATTCAACTGGCGGCATATCCATTGTCAGTTTTCTCAATATTTTGATACTTATCAACATCCATTTGTTATGGATGTTGGAAAATAAGCTCGCTCTTCATGTGTTTTTAAATTTCATCTTTTAAAAATATTGATTAGGCATAAATAAATGTGACCAATTTAATTGATTGTATGGTGGCCCATTTAAGTCATAGCAAGGAAAATTTCTTTCACTACTTCACAAATTACATGCCCTCTTTTTACCAGTAGAAGACATCTCTTGAGTCCTTTAAGCTACTAGACAAACTTTTTACAAACTAACAAAGTGATGCTAAGTGTGCTTTCTTGTCATGAATATGTAAGAAAAACTTTGGTACTATATAGCATTCGATCAATCAGAAATGTTTGATTTATGCAGTTTTAAGCCTCTCTCTCAATTAAAAGTTTTAACTTCTTATTTTGACTTTGCAACTTGTTTTCAACCCCAACCTGATAAAAAAAGAAGGCTTCTCGATCAAGCGTTACATTTGTACCTTCTACACATAGATATCATATTGGTAAGAACATATTTAATATATTTTAAAACCTTTATAGAAACTGACTGATCTAGGCTTGGTATGAGCAGAAGTCAACAAAATATACAGCTGTATATATATAGCATCAATTTCTTTTCCCTTCATCAATAATGACTTTGGTCTAGTTTAATGGTTCATCATTGTTTGAATCAACCTCCAGCAGACATGAGTAATTCCCCGAAACAAAGCGATAAAAAAAATGACGTTCTCATTTTGGGAATCATCTTTATTATTTGATTGAGAATTAATATCAAGAAGTTACACACAAAGTCAAGATATTTTTTGTCAGTGGTGAGAAATTGATTTTGAATTAATTAACAAATACAACAACGCAAAAAATGTTCCCCGATCGTAATCAGGGTGCACTGAGAACATTCCTTTTCTGAAGTGAAAACGAAAATAAAGGCGAGTGCCTATCATCTCTTTGAAGCCATCGGATAATTGACTGTTAACAAGTCGCCTATTAATGTCAAGTATTCTTTCTTTGAATTAAAACACCAAACGCTCTTTACCAAGACAAACAAACAGTTATATAAAACACTCTTACAAGTGATTTGTCAAGTACTAGCCTGTATTATCATTTTCTATTTCATTAGACTTCAGTTTTATTTTACTATTATATAAAGTGATTGCATGGATACTTCACAGGGATGAGACTCCGGTCTATTCATTAGACTAAAGCACTGTCAAGAGTCTATATCGTTTTAACGTTGATTTTTTTTTTTAATTTGCTGATTGTAATTTTGTAAAAGTTTTTCGCTGGAAGTGTTTTGTAGAAAGGATTTTTTTTTGGATGAGACACCTGTATCAACATTAAGTTTGCTTATTAACTTGACATAATGACATTTTAATGCTCAAATTTAAATGAAATTAAAAGTTAAAAAATTTTAAATTGAAATTTAAGAATCTTCCTACAGTTATTTCTTTGGAAAATTAAGATTTGAAGATATTTATGCGTTAAAAGCCTTTGAATATGAATTGAGAAATTTGGTTTTGTCAACTTGGAAATTGACTAGAAAAATAAGGATTGTCCACACTTTCTGTAAAATTAAAAATTTTAAGTAACTTAAGTCATTTCTTAGTTCAACGACATTCACAAAACCTATGACAAAGAATATTTTTTTTAAGTTTAGCACAGATTAATCATAATTTATTTTTAAAACTTCTTTACCTTTCAAAATATGTAGAATCCCAAATTTTTTAACAAAGATCGTAGTTTTCTGCATCAACTCCCTGACCTTTCCTTCTCCTTACCACCTGCCTCCCCAAACTGTCTTTTATATAAAGACTTATAATTGAACCCCAAATCATCTAAATTTGCTTTTTTATTTCATTTTTACCCCATTGAATTAACTTAAATTATAACATAAGAAGAGCTCTGATCATTTTCAAATGTAACCAGGTGCACTTGATCAATTCACATATGATGGAGTTTTTCAGTTACTCCCATTCTATTCTATTGGGAATTTTCAAGATAATGTGCTGCCACCAAAATGATGCAAATGTATTCAAAGTTAAAGTTGCATTGAATCCTAAGTAACAACCAATAAAAATTTATTTCAACTTGGAAATTTTTTTTTGATTTAGACCTAAATGTTTGATAGATGCTGTAGAACACCTTCTTTATAACAATGCAAAAGGGAGATAATTCCAAAAAAAAATTCTAAGGAATTTTTAAAATTGCCTACCTACAATAAACATTAAAATGGAACGTGTCCTAAAAAACTTTTTTTAAGCTTTCTGTGGATAAAAACAGTAAAATATTTAAATACTATATAGTTTTCTTTTATCTTTTCAGGGAGGCAGATGTTAGAAAGACAAATCCCAATGCCTAAGCCATTCTTACCAATCTGTCCTAATCGACCAATATTCAAAGAGGCACTGCCAGAACTGAAGCCAGAGATTGAGAGGTCACCAAAGGAAAAATGTATGGTTGAAAATGATTACAGTCATAGTGATGGGTATGCAATTGATTACAGCATGCACAAACGTGATGGCAGTCCTACAAGTGATGATAATGATCACCATGATAACAAAAACAAATCTAGATGTGGAACACCAGACAAGTATGATAGCGGCAAAGAAAATGAACAGATTTCACCCATTCAGAACAGCCCAACCAGTATTTTTCCTGGTCAGAACAGAACAATGGCTCATAGTACACCAAAAAAGAACTCCGGCATAATCGAAAATTTACTGTTGAAGAAAATGAAAGAATCAGGTGAGGAAATACCAGAAAAGATGTTAAATGGTGGCAACGTGTTTCCATTCAACAAGTCTAGTCTAGACGTAAAACCTCAGATCACACCAGCTCATGAACATAAGGTTAAGATGGAACAGTTTCCAGAGAAGCAAACTCCCGATCAAATGCCACAGTTCAATCCATTCTTTCCATATCCTCCAAAGTTCATGCCTCCGAGTCCATTTATGGACAAGTCACCGATGCAACAGTTTATGAGTCGAACAGAAGAGTTCAACAAAATGATGACACAAGGTATGGGAAAAATGCCCTCGTCTGGGCCGCCATTATACTTCCCGACTCCAACAATGCCTGGAATGTATCCTATGCCAGGAATGTTTCCATTCCCTCCTTATCATCCTGGACTAGCTTGGCAGATGTATCCACAATTCCATCCTGGTCATCCAATGGCCAATCAGCAACAGATGTCACCACCCTTCCATCCAATTGGACAGCAGCCTGATCAGGTACTCAACCTAAGCAAGCCTAAGATTGATTCTAGAGGTCACAGGTCATTGCCGTATCCATTACGTAAGAGAGATGGGAAGATGCATTATGAATGCAACGTTTGTTCAAAGACTTTTGGACAGTTATCCAACCTCAAAGTTCATCTGCGCACACATACTGGTGAACGTCCTTTTGTTTGCCAGACATGTGGTAAAGGCTTCACACAACTTGCACATTTACAGAAACATCATCTGGTACACACTGGGGAGAAACCACACGAATGTCAGGTGTGTGGGAAACGTTTCAGTTCAACCAGCAACCTCAAAACACATATGCGTTTACATAGTGGAGAAAAGCCATTCCATTGTAAATTGTGCCCTGCTAAATTCACTCAATTTGTCCATCTAAAGCTTCATAAGAGACTGCACACAAATGAGCGACCTTACGAATGTCCTCAGTGTAATCGTAAATACATTAGTGCTAGTGGACTAAAAACTCATTGGAAAACAGGTAACTGTATCCCGTCTGGGATGAATATAGACTATAATGCTTTGTTAGAGAACACACATCAGTCTATACTTAGCCGTGACAGATTAGATAATTTAGATGACAGCACTTTGTCTCAGGAAGTTCGGGAACAAATTGAACTCAGTATCATGAACAGTACAAACAATCAAAATGTTTTTGACAATCCAAACAGCAACTCTTATGACAATGAGTCAAACTCATTCGACAATCATAATAATTCATACAGCCATCAGACCTCATATGATCCAGAGAGTTCAAATCATCTCCGTCTAAATAGCTGTAATACTAGTGAGAATGGCAGTGAGGATGAGGAAGAGATAAAAGATCACATGACCATGCCAATGGAATCCGACCAAGATAGTAATGACAATTATACTAAACCGATCCATTATTTGAGTCCTTCACCGAGGATGGTTTCTCCTCCAACATCTCTGTCTCACAGTGTAGAAGCCATTACTGCATCATAAACAGAAAAATGACAATTTGTTTTGGCTCCAGCTGACAAAGCTTCTTATACCCAGTAAATCAGTGTAGTGCATTTAAACTTTTTAAAGTCATACCTATGTAGGGCGCAAATTATTGCATTTATATAAAAGGTTGTATTGTTCTGCTAATTTTTCAAAGTCCCAAAAATTGTTGCCAAATGAAAGGACATCTAGTCATTGTAATATTATTGCACATGTATAAACAGCATTTGCACTTTTAGATCAAATGTTATTATTGCACAGTAAATTAACTAAATATAAGCATGCATTTGCATTTAGTTTGGATAAATAAATATCAAGCTAATATCTTGTCAACATGTTTATTTTTTTGTTGTTGAAAGATATAAAGTAATAATTTTGAAACTGATTATAATTGTTTTGTAACTAGGGGCAATGAAATTAAGTATTGAAAACAAAATGTGAGATCTATTAGTTTCAGATTTCAACGTTTTTGTTTTACATGAACATGAATCAATCATGACATATTTTGTTTGGTAAAGTATATTTTTCTTGTTATTTATTTGTAAATATTTTTGATTATCTTTTTTAAAGATTTGTTTTGTATTTGCAATCAAAGTGAGTGCCATATACGGTTTTGGGTGCCATGAAAAATTGTCTAATTTTTGTATGATATTTGAAAAAGAAAGATAAGATCATTGAATTTTTGTTTAAATTTAGAACAAAGGAATTCACATTAAATGAAACTGATGCATTTTTAATTCCAGACTCTTCTTCTTCTGTGACTTAGGCAGCATTTTTTATGTATATATGTGTTTTTTATTTATAATTGGAGTGAACCAATGCATTTGGTCTTTTTGGGAGTATGACTTCTGGTCTATAGTTATTCTAACCAAGGTTTTAGAGTGCCATATTTAACTCTTAGTGATTTTGATTTTTGTTTATACTGTAATACAAGCATAATATCCATTATTCTATTAATATAACATTTGCATGCTTCTGAATTTTACTTCAATAACAAGTCGAGGAAAAGTGTTGGAAAGGCACACCAGAAAATCTTGCATTATAATTTGACAATCTAGGTTTTTCTAACATTTATAAATCTACTTTATGATAATTTACACAAACTATTGTTTTAAAATGTGAAATGTGTGCATAATTGTCTGTAAATGTAACATATGTGAATAGAATTTTTAAAGAAAAGTTGTGAGAAGCTCATGTGTTAAAAACTTTATCAGACGTTAATTTTCAATACTTGACATATTTTGAAGTCTTATTGTAGTCTCAATGATTGCAACATTTTCTACTATGCTTCTGGTTAAAAGCTTTCACATAGAAACTCTTATGATTTAATAAGTAAAAATTGTATAAATTTTTCTTCAAAATGTATGGATGGATTTTTTATTTTTAGTTGGTTTTTTGCGGACTTGTTTAAGTAAATGATTTACAACACTATAAGTCATATTTTTTTCCACCATAGGGAAATTTACTAATCTGAAACATTAAGTTAAATATTAAAATACTTAATAGTAAACTTGATATGGGATTATTCTCTCATACGTTCTAATGTGACAATCATATTGTGAATAAAAGTGTCCTCGTACAGCTATAAAATGAGATTGCTTTCTTATCGGACTGAATATCATCATACAATATATTATACCTGTACAGGAAAGAAAAAAGACGAAAGTCGTTACAGCTTTGTGCAATTATGTGGGGGATAAAAACTGTCTTAAATTTCAATTCTTAAAAGTGTTTTAATGCATTTTACCTCAATTTTGTAAATTAATATCAGTTACGTTAATTGATAATTTCAATTGTATCTATCGAGAGCTTGTTATTAACAGGTGTTTTGGATGATTAGTACAAGTTTAATGTTTTTACACAGTGACGTTTCATGTCTCTGGTGCGATTATTCATTTCACTTTGTGTTATTCCCCAATGAAAGGTTACATGATGCTGGTATTATAGTCCAATGAATGAGGATAGGAAATTGGCGAGTTTTCCATTCTCTCCCATCTCTCGACCTCCATTAACTAGACAAATAATATTCTGTATGCATCACTTAGTGCCACTTGTTAACTAAGTAAGAATCAAAAGGCTGTTTCATAGAAATCAACCATTATAACAAAACTTGTCAAACATTTGATTATTTTCCGAGATATGATCATGTTGAAAAATATTTATACAATTAAGCTGTTTATAGTCTTCTATTGTGAAAGTTTACTTTTTACTGTAAAGCGAACATATTTCAATTTCTGTTCTAAAGGATGTCAATATTTGTCAAGTTTTGATTTTATTTATGTCTGTGTTTCCGGTAGTAATATCCGAGACCGGTAATAGGAGTTTTATTGAGACCTATGGTCTTAGAGAAAGGATGGTTTAATTGATATGTCATACTGGTGTATTGCTTTAATTCTATATTGTTAAATGTCATAATTAAAAGGTTTGCAAAGAACAAACATGGCTTCCGTAAGGAATTGAAATAAAGACGTTTGAGAGACATTTAAAATGTTTGTTTTTGTGAAGCGGTTTGTTTTCAGTAACACGCTTTTATTAAACAGATAGCAAAAATAAAATCATTCAATTTGAAAACACGATTTATGTTTGATTTTTTCAGCTGCAATAGTAAATGCATTAGTGTATTCTCAAACTCATTTAGAACAATTCAATTCACTTTAGATTTGAAAACTGTAAAATATAGCAACATTGAAAGTGGTTTGATTTGAAATAGTTTTTAATTTGAAATTAATCAGTACATTTATCATCAACTATTCCAGAACATTAACTGGTGCAAGATATAATTGATATGATTGCAGAAATATTAAAATAGAAATAAACCACAATAAAAAAAATGAGTTTGGATCAAGACGATATTAGTTATATTGCATTTTTCTAAATCAGATTTTTACAAGTAATTTCTAAACTCATACTAGCTTCCATCAGATCATTGGTAGATTAAAACCACTGGTACCATTTGGTTTTAGACATTGAGGGAACCAGTCATATTATGTACTGTATATTGCATTTGTTATGTGTGCACACAATCAGAGGACCATGACATGTTAACTATATAACCTTGTGTTTAAAGGTTGTTTTTTTTTGTTACAAAAATCAAAAATAAAAGAGTATTATGTCTGAAAAGTGTTTGTTTTATCTTATATCTTCAATACTATGGAGTCAGTAATTTTAATTCTTAATCCATTACTCAACAATGAAGCTGTAGAAGGGATGAATAGGAGTTCAAATAAATTGAGATGTTGGGTGTACATCAATGACGCAGCAACCCAACAACATAAATAACCAAAAACCAATCTGTCTATCTGCCTATATTTACATAATGGCATGTAAAACCTTGAAAGTACAAACATGAACTCCATCTGATCTTCACCAATTTTTGGTACAATATTTCCCAATGATCAAATGATGAATCATATATAACATGACGGAAGGACATAGGTCAAATGTCAAGGTCACATATAAGAACAATTTAGTTTTGAGAAGGGTCTCCTCATATTTATTATTATTTGCAAAAGCTAAGGGAACTCTTTTCTAAACTAAACAAAACTTTAATTTTTACAGGGTTTGCTTTGACAGGTTTCACCATATTTTCCTTCTCAAACACTGTTAATCACCTTATTTTCTCATTTGTTTGTGTGACACCCATACCATTACACTGCTTTATAGTATTTTGTAAATAAAACTGACTAAAAGAATAACATAATTGTCTGTTTAGAAGATTAAAGGATGTCTACTGCTGTCCTTTCATAATTTGATATCAAGACATATTTTTGGCATCTTTGGGAAATCATATTCTGGCCTTTAAGGAGCTACCATTTGATTTTTATGGGGTGCTAGGATGAAATTTGAAAAAAATAGGCAGGACAGGAGTTTTGAGAAAAAAAAGGCAGGATGAGACACTTTGCAAAAAAAAAGGCAGGATCACAATTTATGTAAAAAAAAGTCAGGATGAACTAAATAAAAAAGGCAGGACCGAATAGAGTGAAAAATAAAAAGGCAGGACAGAGATTACAACTAAAAAAATGCAGGACAAAATTTTTCTTCCTAGCCCTCCTATAAAAATCAAATGGCAGCTCCCTTAATCAAATGCTCAACAAAGACAGAAACACATTATCATGTTATCAAATGGTCTGGGAGAACAGGTACATCCTGTCGTGACATCAGACGGTCTGAGAGAACAGGTACATCCTGTCTTGACATCAGACGGTCTGGGAGGACAGGTACATCCTGTCGTGACATCAAACGGTCTAGGAGGAATGGTACATCCTGTCGTGACATCAGACGGTCTGGGAGGACAGGTACATCCTGTCGTGACATCAAACGGTCTAGGAGGTATGGTACATCCTGTCGGCACATCAGACGGTCTGAGAAAACAGGTACACCCCGTCTTGACATCAGACTGTCTGAGAGGACAGGTACATCCTGTCTTGACATCAAACGGTCTGGGGGAACAGGTAAATCCTGTCTTGACATCAAACAGTCTATGAGGACAGGTACATTCATGTCTTGACATCAAGCGATATGGGGGAGCAGGTACATCCTGTCTTGACATCAAACGGTCTGGGAGAACAGGTACATCCGGTCTTGACATCAAACGGTCAGGGAGGACTGGTACATACTGTCTTGACATTAAAAGGTCTGAGAAGACAGTTTGTCCCGTCTTGATATGAAACGTCTGGGTGGACAGGTACATCCTGTCTTGACATCAAATGGTCTGGGAGGACAGGTACAACCTGTCTTGACATCAAATGGTCTGGGAGGACAGGTACAACCTGTCTTTGCATTAAACGGTCTTGGCAGACAGGTTACATACTGCCTTGACATCAAACGGTCTGGGAAGACAGTTTGTCCTGTCTTGTCATCAAACGGTCTGGGAGGACAGGTACATTCTGACTTGACATCAAACGGCCTGGGAGGACAGGTACATCCTGACTTGACATCAAACGGTCTGGGAGGACAGGTACAGTGTGACTTGACATCAAATGCATTAGAGGACAGGTTCATCCTGAATTGACATCAAATTGCTTGGGAGGACAGGTACATCCTTGATATCAAATGATCTGGGAGGACAGGTGCATCCTATCTTGAAACAAATGGTCTAGGAGGGCAATTACATACTGTCTTGACATCAAACAGTCTCGGAGGACAGGTACATATTATCTTGACAACAAATGGTCTGGGAGGGCAGTTACATACTGTCTTGACATCAGACGGTCTGGGCGGACAATTTCTTCCTGTCTTGACATCAAACGGTCCGGGAGGACAGTTCCATACTCTCTTGCAATCAAACGGTCTAGGAGGACAGGTGCATCCTGTTTTGACATCGGATGGTCTGGGAGGACAGGTACATCATATATTGACATTAAACGGTCTTTGTGTCTTGACATCAAACGGTCTAGGAAGACAGATACTTCCTGTCTTGACATCAAACGGTCTGGGAGGACAGGTACATCCTGTCTTGATATAAAACGGTCTGAGAGGACAGGTACATCCTGTCTTGACATTAAACGGGCTGTCATGGTATGTGAGGACAGGTACAACCTGTCCTGATATCAAATGCCCTGGAAGGACAAGCACTTTAGTCTTGATATCAAATGGTCTTGAAGGACATGTACGTTCTGTTTTGATACCAAGCGGTCTGGGAGGACAGGTACATCCTATCTTGACATCAAATTGTTTGAGGGATCAGGTACATCCTGTCTTGATATCAAACAGTCTGGAAGAACAGGTATAACCTGTCTTGACATCAAACTCTCATGATGGATAGGAACAGCTTGTCTGGATATCAATTGCTAACGAAGGTTAAGTACATCTTGTCTCGATATCGATTGCTCATGAAAGATAGATACATCTCGTCATGGTATCAAATGCTCATGGTATATAAGATCACCGTCTCGTTTGTCAGGTGCTCATGAAAGACATGAACAGCCTTTCGTGACATCAAATGCACTAGATAGACATTGCGAAACTTATTTAAATCTTAAATGCGCAGGACGTGCATGTACATTTCGGAAGGACAGGCGCGTGCTGTTATGATGTCGAATTATAAGGAAGGACAGGTTTTATCCTATCTTGATATCAAATGTACATGAAGGACTGCCATGTGCAACATTGCTTAATATCATATTGTCTGCACATTTTATACGTCCTGTCGTGGTTTTAAATGACCAGGAAGGACGGGTGCACCTGTCAAAATATAAAATGGTATGAAAGGTAGTAATTGTAAGCACTGAATTTGTGTTGATAACAAGAGGATCGATTTGTAAGCCACGAATAACTGAAATAAATATGGTTAGAACAACCAATCTACTGGAAAGTATTTAGTTCTTATTACTAGAATTTACCATGAAAATTTTTATTACATGACTACCATGGTAAAACATGTGATCTCCTTGAGGGACCTCTCCGAAGCTGAACGCATATCTATATATCTGATTTTGAAAATAACATTATTTTTGTTTTCATTGATTTGTACGATGATATTCAAATATATTTATTTTATTTCACTACTTATCAACAAAACATATCATTCGTAGTTTTATAACTATTCCTTAGGAAATCGATGATGGAAAAGTTGTAACATATTTCAAATTCTCACTTACCAGCAAAGTTGAGAACAAATCGGAAATCAAACTTGAAATCGATTTTCTTAAATGGTGTATGCAGAGACATATAATACATATCGCTGGTGTATGCTCTGCAATGTAGAAACTTAAAATCAAGTAAAAGCCAAATAGACAGGTGACAACTACATGGGATTTTAAAAAGGGAGAGGGAGTGCGTGTTACCTGTCTTTATTTTCCATAATTTTTATGTATTACACATTTTCATATAGAAAAAAAATATAAAAACTTCATCTCTTCAAAATAATGTTATTTTGGATTTTATTTCATAAGCTACGTTCTCGAATGCGCTATTATTTTGACTTCGCACTTTATCGATGTTTTGTTTTCTATGGTCAGTTTGGCCTGAAGCATTTTTTATTTTTTTGTATCGTTGTTTTTACAGACGGCATTACAAATGGTGTCGGTTAAACCTGTTATACAAGAGGAATTTACTTGAGCCGAAAAATACCTTTTATCTCACGATTAGTACCAATTTTAGAGACGGTCGTGGCTGGACATATATTTTGTACATAAATCAGGCCGTTAGTTTTCTTGTTTGAATTGTTTTACATTTGTCATTTCGGGGCGTTTTAAAGCGGACTGTACGGTATGGATTTTGCTCAGTATTGAAGTCCGTACGATGACCTATAGTTGTTTACTTCTATGCCGGTCATTTGGTCTCTGGTGTATAGTTGTTTCATTGATAATATTACCACATCTTCTTATTTTATATAAGAAATACTAAGACCATATCTAAATTTTTGTATTTGGTGCCACTCATAAAAATTTACGGCATTATGATGTCTGTTAAACCTGTTATACAAGAGGAATTTACGCGTGAGCCGAAAAATACCTCTTATCTAACAATTACCAATTTTAGAGACGGTTGTGGCTGGACATATTAAAATTTCTATGCTATATATTACATTGTACTAATAACTAGATTCATACTAACACCGGACAATAATATTGGTATCAGTTTCTTCTTAGCGTCTTTAGCAAAATGTTACGAGCTTCTTTGGTGACAAAACCGTGGGAATTTGCTCTACGCCTAAAAGTTTTTAGTACTTTAAGAGAATATTTAGATGTTATCAATGGAAAGTCCTTAATTCTTCTAAACATGACAATCGGATGTGTGAGCTCATCGTTTTTTTCACCATCTTAAATTTCTATCAGAATTTTGTTTCTCTTCTCCTTGGCGACAACAGTTTCATCTCTTAACAAAAAATAACCATATCGGATTAATTGTTATCTAATAAATTATCTCAGATAAATTGTAATCCCATGGATTCACAAGGAAAAAGTGATATTAGATATTAAAGGTTTACCATGAAGTTTAGTCACTAACACGTAAGGTTTGACCTTATAAACCCTGGTCATTTTAGAAAAAAAAGTTTTATTTTTTAGTATTCATGGATGAGTCGTCGCTAGCGTGAGGAACAACATTTGTCAGTGAAAGTCACAGAGGTATAAGATCTTATATTACAATTTAACTACTTTATCTTTTAATTTCTAATT